TATATATTATTGCTTTTTATATATAATATAAAAAAAATATATATATATATATATATACATGCATACGTCATTATAAAGACGTACAAATATTTCCGTCCGTTCTTTGTTCTATCTTCTCGGACAAGAGATGAATTTGCTTACGGATTAATTCGAAATCTCGATCGAGAATATCTCTGGTCGATCGTAAAGGTGAAATTGAAGTTCTGCTCGGTTTCACCTATATAGACTCGAAGCGAAGATTCGAGTTTCGACGAAGATGCAAGTACATAGACTGACGATGTAGAATGGATGTAGTATTGGAGCATAGCAAAACGGAGCACGTAAACTATGAAGCTGCCTGTGGAAAGCGGTGTAGGATAGAGAGCACGAGAGTACTAGAGTGATCGACACCACCAGCTACTTGGAATATTCTCTAGTATATATACTACAGTAGACACGTACTACATACGTGTATCACATAATACGCGATACCAAGTCCCTCCATCCCCTTCCCCTATCATTCCTTCTACCATCCATCCCGACCGATCTTCCGGTTCACGATTTTCTTCGACCAAAGATCAAGTTCCACTTGAAGAAGAAAACACGTTCGAACTATACACGTTCCTCCTTTACGTGTCATTGAGCGAATAAAACAACATTTCGACGTATTACGTTACTACATACGATAAAATTGTCAAAAAATTCTTATGGACCTTTTGTAATCCCTCGTTTTATTTGATTTCGACGTCGACAAATAGAATAGTAAAGCAAGATTATCTATAACGATTTTCCAAATACCATAGAAACACGCATTCGAGTAATTTTCGTACTGGATTACCCACTTTTTTTTCTATCTCTTTCTCTCTCTTTTCTCAGCTTTCAGCACTGAAAAATCATGGCATTCAATCGTGAAACGTACGATTCACTTTTCTATCTTTCTCTCTCTCTCTCTCTCTCTCTCTCTCTCTCTCTCTCTCTCTCTCTCTCTATCTATCTATCTATTTTTCTCTCACGAATTGCCTTCACCAACGGTTTGGCGAGCCGTACGCGTGGCACGGAATTAATATTTCGAAATCGTTGCCGTACGTGGGCCGCAATAAATTCGACTGGAGCGATAAGCAGCTTAAAAATTTTTCATCGGCTCGCAACGGCACCCCGGATGTTTCGTTATCCTCCTCACCCCTCTTTCCTCTCTCTCTCTCTCTCTCTCTCTCTCTTTCTCTTTCTATCTCTATCTCTGTTTCTGTCTCTGTCTCTGTCTCTGTCTCTCTTTCGCTCACATCGAGCCCGGTTCTCGGCGTTTCCATTTAAACTTTCCAGAAGGCAGATTAGCCCCGGGATCTCCGGCAACTCCGAAGCTCCTTTCGTTTCCCCTTCCACGCGTCGGATGAAGAGCGTATTACTCACACTAACGTCCTTGCTAGCGCAATTCCGTTCGGACGCGCAAATAAACAGAGCTTCTCGTCGCGACTACACAAATACTCCTGGCGTCTTCTAAGCCATCGCGGGATATCATAAGCAAGGGCTCGCGTGAGAAGATGAAAGAAGGAGTAGATAGGAATTAGATGTTCCTTCATCGATATTCTACATATCTCTATTACTTTTATATCGAATTCGTCGTATTATCGTTGAATTTTATCCATTCGATCGATTTATTTATCCGTATTGTATTGTATTTAGATAGATATACGTGTACGCGCAGATTGCGTGTAAATTTTCTTTTTTCTTTCTTTCTTTTTCTTTTTCTTTCTTTTTTTTTTTTTTTTTTTTTTTGTCATTGTCATGTTCACATAAAGGATGAGCATTGGAAGACAACTGAATGATATGAAACGATAGTATCTTTTACGAACTTTTATGTCTGTTTAATTTTTTTTTTTTTTATTATCGCTAGGCATTATACGTCATCATTTTAATCTCCAAAAGGAATACTAATATAATCTACGAAAACAATTATAAAAAAAAAAAAAAAAAATTAAAAAGATTGAAAATGAAAAAGTTATGATTTTTTCAAACTCTTCGGTCATTCAGTGACCACTCTGTATTTTGATCGTTGATATTTTGGATAATGAACGGAAGGAAGGAAACAAGGAAATATATTGAAATATTTATTCTTTTTTTTCCCCTCAATGTTGTAACACAAATTCAACGGATTCATCTGATTGGACGAAAATAAAAGAGAACGTTCTTGTCTTTCGTTCTTTTTCTTTTCTTTTTTTATTTTTGTTTCTTCGTTCTCGTGTATCGATCAATTAAATATTTTTCAATATTTTCGTATTTCAGAATATATGACGGAACGATGCGCTTACCCTTCATGGGTTGTGGCACCGAAGTCATGGGTGGCGTTGGATCGAATGGCTTCACGTCTCTTAGCCTCGACATACAACCTGACGATTCTCGATCGAAACGAGACTCGATTAGCCTGTCATGCGACGGTACCAATCGAGGATCATCATCATCATTACTCATCGGCGACGCATACTTACGATCAAATGATGTTTGTCGCCAAAGCTACACGTGACTG